CCCAAAACCCCAAAACCCCAAAACCCCAGCATCCCTAATTATGCTTAGAATTAAAAATATGCACATAAATTTAATAGAAGCTAAAATGAATACATCAAATTAAAAGGATTAATTTATTAGCAAGTGCAATAGAGAGTACGAATGGGAGCAGTATGCTATAAACCAAAGCCTGCCACGATCACTTAGGCTGATATATTGAAAGCCTTGAATGACAAGCACCTAAAGGATTGTATTACCGAGCCAGATGGAGTTAAGACTCTTAAGACTGATGAGTAGTATAGTAATAATTTACTGACTTTTGGTACGATTACTTAAATCCATAACTATGACACAAATGACCTCACTCTAACTTAGTAATCAAATTAAAAGAAGTAGAGACGCAGATCTAGACTAGCAAATTTAAATCCAAATTTCGGGGGGCTCGGCCAATTAGAATTGAATATACTGACGTACTATGGATGTAAGGATGAAATATATGAAACCCTAACAATGATGTCTAGAAAATCACTTTATTTCTTGAAAAGGAATTATAAGAGTATTGAAGCTAATCCTAAAATTAGACACGCTAATGAGAGAATTAAATTTATCTATACAAAGCAAATAGAAGAGCACACATCAGGTGTTAATCAGCTAATTAGGATAAATGATAAGGAGCTTGTAACAGCGAGCGATGATTGCTTCATGAAATTTTGGACTTCTAATAACATGAAAGCTGAGACATCAATACCTACTGAAACTATAACCTGCATTGCAGTCACTGGTGGAACTAATCCAAAGTAAAAAGACATATTGGTAGCTGGTTGTCATTCAGGTAACCTGCTTATAGTAAGTACAATCACAAAGTCTAAAAAGGAGCAGATAAACAACGCTCATTACAACTTAATTAGGGTAATTGTTTCGTTAGAAGCTTTGAAAAATAAATATTTTGTGACAGCTGATGTTTGTGGAATTGTTAAAGTGTGGACATCAAGTTTCAAGCCTACTGAAGTCATGGAGATCTAGCAAGATGGTGCCATATCGTATAATAGTATGATAGAAGTGATGGATATATTGCCGAAGAGGCAGAGTTATGAAGACACAGCTATTATTGCTTGTGCTCTTAAATCTCAAAAGATTAATATTATTCTGTTGATACCTCATTCAGCTAGCTATTAACTAATAAAAACTTTAAAAACCTAGCAAAAGCCTACTTGCTTGATTCAGCTTACTAATAAACATTTGGCTATAGCAGTAGGATCGCTTAAAGAAGAATCCTGTATAGAAGTGCATGATGTTTTGAAATCAAAGTTAATGTCAAACTTAAAAGTGCACAAGGATATGATAGACTCAATGCTAAAATTAGAATTCAGACCTGAGAAAACTAAAAGTACGAATCCCTATATTACTTGGTTTTTATCAGCTAGCAGAGATAGATAGATCGTACTATGGAAGCTTATTGATGGTAAGATTATGAAGAGATGCACTCAGCCAGTGTTATAAGGATCACCAACAAACAAGTCTACACTTCAATAGACTCTGACTAAGCAATTCGAGGGTAACAGATCAGGCACTCATAAAGGATTAGAGAAGAAAAGACAAAGTCAGCCTAAGCAATCTAAAAAGAAAAGAAGAGGAAGCTAAGAGGATGATGAGGACGAGGATAATGATGAGGATTTTAATAGAAACAGAGATGAAGATAGTGACTTTGATGCTAATGAAAGGGATGCCATCCTCAGTTAAACTTAAAAGTTTGGCCAGAATGAGGAAGATAAGAGAGATCTTTAATCTTAACGATTAAACTCAGAATTTGGAGAGAACAGTTTTTCGACTCAACAATAGCTGATGTTGTAAACTTAGTATCTGAAGATGCAGGAATCCTTGATGGTAGAGCACTATTACTCCTTCGACAGTGGGCACAAGGACTTCATTAGGTCAATGGCCTAGATTAACAATGGTAATACATTGGTTACAGCCTCTGAAGACAAACTTATTAAGCTATTTACAATCACCTTCTGAGAAATCCAGTTATTTAAGATATACAGAAGTGGAAATTATTTGAATATCTTTTAGTGTCTTTTAACTTTAATGATAACTTTAATAAGTTAAAGAGATGTTTAAATGTTACTAATATTTATATATATTCTAAAAACAAAACATTAGTAAAATCACAAACAATTAAGCCACTCGTAAATTCTTTTAGTATATATAAATAGGGAAGCTAGCTACCAATGAATTAAAGCTAGCAGCAGGCATGATTTGGTGCTTCAAATCATTGAGTCATCATCAGAAACATTTTCATCTCCATTTCCTGCACTATCAGAAGATCTTCATATTTTTTTGCTTTGAGATGTCTGATGACTCTTGCCCTGAGCTCGCTTTTAGTAGAATGTTACGGTGATTTTATTGATTGAATTCTCATTATTGATGGCTTCATGCTAATTGACTGGAGGTATGTTGGCTTCCGAGGCTATCCCAGATGTCTGGCTGTTTGTATCTTTTGGGTCTTCATCTGCTCTCACTATCTCATACTAAACAAATGCATTAATAATGCTAAAATTTTACCTTTCCGATCATTTTGACACCCTTACGCTTCTCAGAATCAGACTGCTGTTCCTTCTTGCCGTTTTTATTATTGATCATGGATATATGATTAGGCTTGTTGAACTCCTCTTCGCTGTTCACTTTCTCTTTGCTGACTATCAGCTGGAAGTTCAAATCTATTTCATGCATTTTATTACCACTTTCATCTCCTCTACCCCTCGAGATACCTTCCTCATTGTGTGGAGTGCTCATGCAACTGTCATTATCTCCAAGTCCTCCTACCTTTACTGTTTGAAAATTGAAATGTTTAGTAAGACTCTTCTTTGGCTTATCCTTGATTGGTCTGACAGGGGACTCTTCATAGACATTTCCCTTGACTCCATCTTACTCCTCTTCTCTTCTTCTGTTCATAATTTAGGGAGGCTGCAATTATTGTGAATTCTATTGTTGATGTAGCTATTGTGAAGCCATACTTCTATTTACTGAGGCCAGAGAAGTGTTACTTTCATCCTTCTTTATAAAGCCCTCTTAAATCCATTTATGCTGGATTGCCTAAGATGCTGAGAATCTTATTTCAGGGTCTAATTCCAAGCATTTAGCTATGAAATCAAGGAAAAATGGATCTTAACATGGAACTGCATCTTCAAGTTTTTTGCTCTCAGGTATACGAAGAATTCCAAGTTACTCATCTTCAATTAAGAATGGAGAGTAGTCAACATCAAAGTAATGGTCCTTCTTTCGACTCTTGTCAATGACTTTGTCTGTTGGAATGCCGCATATCTCCATAATAAGTTCAAGCTACTCTTGCTCATTATTGCCTGGAAATAGAGGCTCACCTGTATATAGCTCAGCTAAAATACATCCAAATGACCAAATATCAACTTTTTCAGAATATGGTATTCTTAAAATTACCTCTGGTGCTCTGTAGAATCTACTCTGCACGTAGGTATATACTTATTCCTGTCTAAAGCATCCTGAACCATAGTCAACCAATTTAAGTTTCTCACCATGGGGATCTCTTAACAGTATATTTTCAGGCTTCAAATCACAATGGATAATCTAATGTTTCTCTAGGAATATCAATGCCTCAAGTATCTGAACTGCATAATCTCTTATTTTAGAGACCTCAAACCCAATGAATCCATTTTCCTTCAGATGCTCAAACAGATCTGAGCAGAGTAGCTCGAAAACAAAGCAATGATGATCTCTGAAATAAAACTCATTGATAAGTCTGACAATATTGCTGGAGTCAGTTGGATCATTTGTCATTAAATAATTTAGCAGTTTACTCTCGCTACCTGCAAATTTATGATCGATTTCAGTATTTCTTGTAATTTTAATAGCAACCTTTTATCCTGTCTTATGATCAAAGCAGGAAACTACCTAAGCAAAGGACCCTTTACCAAGAATCTTCAAAACTTCATATCTGTAGTTCAAATGATCACCCAATAAAACATTATAGTATCCCTCTTCATCATCTAAAGACTTTTGTATTTCCTTTTCTGACTCTGGATTTCCATATAAAGCTACATATTGAGCTGATCTATCTTGCAAGGATACCCCACAGAAAAACACCTAATCCTCTGTCAATTGCTCTATTTCCCTCTTTTCAAAGTCAAGTAGTATCTTATCATGCTTTTAAAGGAATTTTTCAATGTTTAAAAATAAGCTTTCAGTGTCGGACAAACTTAAATCCAAGTTTATATTTATCTTTTGTTATTAATGGCCTACTCTACTCATCTATTTAACCTCCTTATCCTCCAATATAAGATTATTTTATGAAACCACTACCTGTAAAACTGAACTCTTTTGACTTTTAAGATTTGATTACTCTTCACTAATCAGAAACTTATCATCGTTTTCCAGATCCTAACTACTTTTATGCTTGACATTTATAATGCTTGTAGTATTATTCTAACTGTTAAAAGAGAAATTATCCTCCTCCTAGCATTTTACTTGCAATGAATTAGAATCTAAATTTAGCTAAATGCTCTACCTTTCAATCTAGGATAGTTTATGCTTTTACTGGCTTGATACTTTTTATGATGCCACTATTTGTTTAATTTCAAATACAGAGTTAGATTTAGTCTCATCAACTTCCTCTTGAGAGTTTAACCTTTCTGACATTTACTTTTACTTTTCAAAAGGTACTGATGACTTCACTATTGTTTAGGTCTTTGACGCTTTGCCTTAATTAACCCTTAAAGTACTGTTTTTCATTGCTTGAAATATTGGTTCAGTGATCTTAGGACCTGAGTCCTATTTCTTTACTCCACCATTAGCATTTATCAAACTATGTCTGCTTTATAGACTTTGCTATCCGCTAGCAACATTATTGTTATATTTGTAAGTTTTTGGTGATTTATTGTTTACCTAGGCTTAGTGATCATTTAAATTTTATAGATTGGGGCTCTAAGAATTAATTTAGAGCGGTGTCTTTTTGGTTTAACTAACAGATGATTTTTTTCTTTAATTGCTTTTTTATATCGATTAAGTAAGGGATAAGGATTGTGTCAATGACTAGCTGTTCTACTATTATTGCAATTGATATAAAGTTTAAGCGTTCTAAGACGCTGTAACTCCTAATTATGTTACAACTAATTCATCATCGTTTTTATTTGATAAGAGCGATAGATCAATCTATAAGCAGGAAGGTGTAGTAGCTGGGTTGAGATTATTGGGTAATTTTTAGTGCATTACACTACTGTTATTATTAACTGAATTTTGCTTATTCAGCTTTTGACCACTGACCATTCTTGATTATGATTATTTTTAGTTCTCTGTGTGAGAATTAATTCTTGATATTTTCTGATGCTAACTTGATGAAAGGGGTAATGGGGAATTAGAATTAGAGACAAATACACCAGGTCCTAAATTTACACTATTCGCTAAAAAATTAGTATTATTGCCGCTGCTTTAATGAACATTAGAGCTTAACTTCTTAACCTACTGTGGTGATTTAAATATGGTATGCTTGTTGAATTATTCTGAACCAGGCTTTGGAGAATACTAATGTTCTTTGCCAAGAGTACTCTATGAGTGTTGTTAATTTATAATCACTGATTTTTTATAAATTGTCTTGGAGTTATTGATGCTAGTTTTGTCGTTGTAGATCTACGATCCTTGGTTTGATGCTGAAGTAATTTAGCTCAACTTTTTGGCATTTTAAGATTTACTGAAATTAGACATCTGACTGAAGTTTGAATGTGATAAAATCTAAGAATTTTTGACTGCGCTTAATGCTCTTGGTTAATCTAAAAAGAAAAAGTTAAAAAGATATATATAGAAAGTTATTCAATGAAGGTAATGAAATATCCTAGCATACATTTTTCATTTGTTAGTATTGAATGTCTACTATTATTAGTATTAGAACCTGTTCCCCCTACTGCGCTTGACTTGACTTGACTTTGGCTGAAAACCTTGGTAAAATCAGTTGAAGTATTATGGATGTTCTCCACTATTTTATCAAGAGGCAGTGCATTTTAGTCCATTCGCTTTGGACTTCGCATACTCTTATTCTAATTTTGTGGAGTTGCACCTTCTTAATCATTTGTGGCAGACTAGCTATTATTTACATTTGATTGCAACTGGACTTGATTCCTGGAAGTTTACTGCTAACTGTTTTAGATTGTTGAAGCATTCCTTGTGTTCTAGATTGTATAATAGTCGTTGCTATTTAGCTAGCTAGCCTTCGTATCTCTTTTTTTACTAGAATTTTAATGCAACTACTTCTAAACATACAATGATTGTGAAGCAATGCCTGAGCTATTTTTATCACTTAGATGGTTTAGTCCTGCTGATTTAGTTAAACTATTTTAAGGTAAGATGCTTGATCTTATCTAAGATGACATTGATGATTGTGAAGAGGTGCCCAAGAAATGTTAATTTTTCTTCGTTGCTTTGAAAGATGAAGTTGCGATAGCACTCATTTTTAAAATATATTTTAAAATCTCTGCTTTATTACTTTAGAGCTATTTTAAATTTCGTATTCGTAATAATTTATAATTGCCATTTTACCTCACGGGGTTTTGGGGTTTTGGGGTTTTGGGGTTTTGGGG